ATGGGTCATTGTCAAATTTTGCGCAGGTAAACGAGTCCCTCAACATTATTTATTTTTTTGTTATTAATAATGTCAAAATCCTTAACGAATTATATATTAAATACAAAATACATCGCTATAGCGAACATCCATTATTGGAATAAAGACTCAAGTTTCGATATTTTTCAATTTTTTTCAATTAACAAAATGGTCATTAGTGGTAACAGAAAGGTTTTCCTTACAAATTGTACCTGTCCCATGTAGCATTCCGTTACAATAAACATCATATAAATGCATTTTCTACTATAGTAACCCTCTTAATATAAATTATAATCGTAAACAGAGTATTATAAATATTCAATAAAATATGTTTTAAAATCAGTCAGTATTAAAATTTAGTTTTTAAATAATTTTCTAAACTTTGTCCCACGTACTATCTGGAACCGGCTGGTTCACTATGTTACTAACTAATTCACGACTCAAAATGAAGATGGCGCTGTTTTGGACACTGTTTTATTTTGGGCGAAATGTCTGCATTCGTCGTGGGAGTTCGTTAGGTTGGGGGGAGGGGTATGTCGCTCGACAGTCGACCGCAAGGTGTTGAACGTGCTGCGTGTTTAAATTGCCCGTCCACCTTGTTACCTACCTATTCACATAAGTAAATGAATATTTTTTCATTAGTTTACGTTCAGTTTATTGTCTGAGGGGTAAATGTGTTAAATGTGAACGAAATATTTTACTTTACGCTTTATTTTTTGACTTGTGTATAATGGAATGTAAAATTTACCACTCTGTTACTACGCAACTCTGTTACTAATTTATGATATTATACAGTATTATGTTCCAGTTAGCTGTTAATATATAGATATTTGGAGGACTTAAGTAGAATTTAAGGTATTTTAATATTCAATAAGTAACAGAGTTGTTTAAGAGTTTAGATTAATGATTGTTAAACTTAACAAAAGACTGTTATGATTCTAATTATATGTAAAAGATATAAGACTGTTTAATATGAATACCAAAATATTTGCTACTGACTTGTTTAATTTCATAATAAAAGGTAAAACTAATTGGTAACAAAGTTGTATTTTTTTTACACCCTGATCCATTAAATGTGGAATAAATCTTAAATTATTGGTTGAACATCGCGACCAGCTATAATAGATGATAATGCAGTTGTTTTAACGGACACGGACATAGAAAAAAGTAAAATCTAAACATATATTTTTTTCAAAAAAAATATGATATTAAGTTAAATTTACCTGCGCAAAATTTGACAATGACCCATATAACAAAATTCGACCAAATGGACAAGAAATTGAATTTTTCAAACATTAAACGAAATGAAATTAAGAAATTTGGTAATTGCAGTATAACATTTAAGAAGTACCTTATTGTTATTGAAGAAAAATTGTTTACATTTAAAGTTTATTTAGTCTATTAATAAACGGTTTCTGTAGCTTAAATTTCCTGTTCCCGAATTATTAATGGCCTTCATCTAGTTGTAGAATATATGATAAACAACGTTAAACCACAGGATAAATAAATTAATTTACACTTGAATTTACCTGATCTGTAGATTTTAGTTATTAAAAAGTTGGAGCATTTCAAAATGAATAGGTAACCTTCTAAAATTTGCAGTTATTTTGTACTTTTATGTACTACGTTATCTTTTCGTTTTCTTTAAATACCTGAATACCTACAATAACGTAAGAAGTTTTAGTTATAAAACCCTTGTGAAAAAATTGATAAGCACCTTTCATTGGTATAAGAGTGGGAAATGTTCATTTTCATTTGCATGTTATTTTTTTAAAAGAATTACATAACTAAAACCTCGTTTATTTTCATTGGTTCGTAATTTGAAAACACGGATTTTTTAAAAAAATACAATACTTTTTGAAAATGTGGAAATAAATTGTTTGACTTCCGATGCCTACGAAATAAATAACCGTTAACAAATGACTCAATCTTTGGACAGAACATTGATAATTTACTGTTTTGTTCTTATCGTTGTAACTATATCATTACTAAAAAAATGAATATATTATTTTTATTCTTAATCAATTGCTGTTTTTGATTAAGAAGCATCTATCTCCTTGGCTATTGTTGCTTTATTACATTTTTATACTATCACCACAATTTTCCCAAGTAAACAGTTTTTTGTCTGCATATTTAACTATAATTATCTTTCTCTATCAGGAGACCTATAAAAAATTGTAATGTACAGGACACGAGGTAAAAATGACCACATCACAGAAATATACAAAACAAACTGATAAAAATTCATTTACATTAACAGTGTTGAGCGTTGTAAAATTATAATTATTTTCATAGATTGCTTATGTACCAAATAAATTTAGATTATTTCATTAAAATACAAAAATTTAGTTGCTTACAAATTTCGACTCGCACTGTAACATTTGTACCTTTATCTATCTCGACAACAGCGCACTCATGTAATTTCGCGGGAAGGAATTTGAATTTAAAATACAAATTGTTTTAAATACCGCTGGCGACTGTTGGTCCTTGATATAAGCAACCCACTTCACTGCAAAGTATTCTGAGCGTCGGGCTGCAGTAGCAATTCTTGGTTCCCTGGTTTATTATTAAAGACTCGGTTTTCAAAAGCAGGGTTTAAAATATTAACAATCAAGAAATAAAAGCGTTTTTAAATTGGGGGTTGGAAGAGCAAATCGGTGTTCTCTATAAATTTTTGTGACAAAATGTAGTGGAGCTATAAACGAAAGCCAGGCCTTTTTAGAAAAAATTTGCTAGACTGAAGTTCGCAATTACCTACAACCCCAACTCAATAATGGTCAATCTAACGGTATTTATACAAGGAAGCAACTCATTCTTGTCCTCCTATGCGTTATGTTCCAGGATGTCTTTTGTTAACCAAATTGGCAACAGATTAATAAAGTATAATTAATACTAATTTAAATATGTATTATTACCTGAATTCGCTCTAGAATTCAACGTTCCATGGTCCACATATATGGACAGTAAACCAAATTAAAAAAGGATACCAGTGCAGATATCCCACGTCCTCATCCCTAGGATCAAAATTAATATCCTAATCTCTCTTATTTGTTGTCAATCTGTAGAAACAACGAAAAAATAATTAAATACTTTTAATCAATAATATTTTAAAGGTGACTGCTTAAATTATATGTACATAATATCACTTTTCTTCCGACTCTCAAATTAAAGTCAAAATATACATATAGTTCATACTACCGTTAAAAAAAAAAACTAAAACAAATACTCTATCCCTTGTATTAAGCTAACATTCATACTACCGGAAACGATAGTTCCACATTAATTCTTCTGCTCTACTTTTGACATTTCTGAAACGTTGTTTAAAAATCGGTCTATTGAAAGTAAGTTACAATGTGTAAGAAATTGAGCTTTCTGACCCCACATCTACTATTTTTAATTCTTACTTACCAATTCATGTCATAAATCCTTCCTTTAACAATAACACATTTTCTCCGTTTCCAATGCAAGAAATGCGCCTTCATCTTTTCCTAAGGACTGTAGGTACTGCTACTTTGCAGTGATAGGGACACCAATGTTTCATAACACATGTATCCGGTGTTTTTACGGCTCCTGTAAAATGCAATATAATGAGAGAGTATTCAGTTATAAATATTTTAGGCTCCCTACTAAGAGACGTTCGCAATATTAAAGTAATGTAATATCTTTTCTCTTTTCATATCAAACAAATATATTATATGTAAATTTTACAGTGCTGTGTTCTGGAAAGGAGACAAATTAAGACAGTAACACAATTTATAAACAGATTTTTTAATAAACTGTTTTTAAATTAAATTAATTACAATAAATAACATGCCTAAATGTTCTAAAATCTTACCTAATTGTAATATCCTTGCTGTCTTTAATAGCATGCCTAAATTAACAGTTGAAAGCTAAAATAAGACATTATTAACAAAGTCTATCTCCGTTACTATTATTAGGTACTGTATTGCATTTTTATACGCTCATCACAATTCTGTCAAATAAAACTAATACTTTTATGTCGGCATTTTTAACTATACGCATCTTTTTGACAATAAGTTTGGATAATTGATTAAACTGTTTGTGAATAATATCTATACATTATTTTTATTTTTCTATTTTTTATGTATTATTAGGGCTTGACCCGTAACTTAATTGATTAATAAGTACACAAAATAATGTATTTTACTGTGGTTACAATTTCATCTTTTTTAGCAAATTAATGTGTTTTATATGGTTTAATTTATACATAATCAAACCAGGAGATTTCTTACATAAATTATAAATAAACATTACTAATTATCGTCAAACAACTCATCTGATTAAAGATCTCAAACTTCACATTATGAGAAGAATGTTAAATTTGTTCGAATTTCATACTTTGACAACGCAAATACACGGATAAATAAAAAAGAACAGGACCAACAAAGCAAAAATTATCCAAACTACTATAAAAACTTACATAACTTCACGATAATGTTGACTTGTGGGCTTATCACAATCATGTGGTATAATAATAAAATTCGACCAAATGGA